AGTTATTAATTCACCCCACAAGTCTGCACTGTTCTTAATGCAAGTGTAAATCTCCTGATAATGGTGCTACTCTTGCAAAATTCTACATAACCTTTATTTTCCAGAAGTTTGTCACGTTGAATGGATCCCTTTTAATTTTATGCACAATATAGGAGGCAACACAACCTAAGTATTATTAATAAAATTTGTGTTCAGAAAGCACAGTATGAATGTCAAAATTAAAGACAATTGCATATGCCAGCTGCATTCAGCTGGTTTGGCTTGTAAGGAAATTCTTAAATAGTTTATCCTCCAATAGATTCCTGTTTTATCTAAAATTCTCCAGGCCTATTAAATCGTGCATTTTATTTGTTGCCATTTAGTTCTAAAGCTGAAGCTCACAAAAGCATTTAAAGGCATTTATTGGGTATCTCAGCCATTAGCTGGGATATGATTTTATACATCACTCTTACAGAGCCTGCCAGTGGATGGGAGGGGAGAAAAGACAAATCAAAATGCCATATGATCCTGTTTATTCCAAAGCAAAGACTTCCAAGGCACTTAGAAATGCAGCAGGAAGAATGACTTGGGTAGTGAGCAATAAATAAGGAGGTTCAAGAGAGAGAAAATTCAAGTCTGGTGCCTCAGGCTTTCCAAACAGAGTTAAAAAAATACTAGTTTGACATTTAGCAGGACTGCAAACTCTGTTATTCTACATGAACAACTCTGTGATAAAATGATGACAGGCTGCTCCACCACGTCACTTTTCCTAATAACAGTCAGCAGTGCTTTCTACCCCACAAAAACTGGACACACCCGCACCCCTGAATTTACCTGCAAGCCCTAATTTATCCTCAGTCCTTAGGGATTAAAAATCCATAAAACTTTGCAGCACAGGCAAAGTTTCTGCAAACAGCTACTAATTAAAAGCTAAGATCATCCATATTTTCCAGCATTTTTATCTTGTTACTTGGCTTTGCTTATTAACATTTAGGATAATACTATATGATTTTTAATTTTGTTAATCTAACAATTATATTCCTTTTAAAAGAATGAAAAGGCTCCTAATTTAATGGAGTCAAAATATAATAAGAGCTCCAAATCTCTTCTTCCCTCGTTAACTCAACCAGTGTGGTCATTCCACACCGTAATTCCCCTCCCAGGGCAGTGACTTTGCAGAGTTCTGGATGCAGAGTGAAGGTCCTGCAAAGATTTGTACCTAAACTTTACCTGCTGACATACCCTGGAACAGGACTGTTTGATTTCCATAATTCCCCTGATGATTTTATACTAACTTAAGGCTTCTCTGTGCACCACTTTATTATTATTATTATTATTATTATTATTTCAATAGTTTATTTCCATACTCAAACATGGGGGAACACTCCTTAAGGGTAACCAGCCAGAAGTTTATAAACAAATCAAAGCTAAAACCTGAAAAAGTAAGCTGTGTGATAACTTAAATGTTTAGTTCAGCAAATCAGGGTTTGTTTGGAGTAACCACAGGCAAGAAGTTGAAATCTACTGTGTGTATGTAATTGGCATCTGCAACTAAAAGTCAAATTTAAAGCCTGACAGAGAAAGCCATCCAGTCTGTGCTTGTGCAAACTGAGAAACTCAGTATCTGAAAGCATCCAAAATCCTGTGGAGACTGGGCTTTAGGTAACCCAAAATTGGAGGCAACGCCTCATCCAACCCAAAACTGAAACCAAACAGGAGTTCTTATATAAACCCTTCCCTGTGAGGTGTTTAACTCACAATCCACTCCTTGCTCAGCTGTTCTTTTATCAGCTGAGCCCAGAGAGTTCCCCTCGGAGACACCGAGAGCCGAGCGAGGCTCGGAAAAAAATCGAGCTCTTTTGGTTGTTGTCATTCTTAATCACAGACATCTATGAAATTATTACTCCAAGCTACTGGTGGGAATAGAAAACTCCAGATCAGCTAAATCAATCAGGCCTGGGAGGTTGGGAAAAGGGAGACGAGTAATTTTGTGAGGAATCAATTTATTGGCTATTAAAGACATGCTTAAAATTAACTGCACAATACAGTTCCCCACCTTCTACTCTGGAGAACAGCACCAGCCTCCTGGTTTTATCTGGGTCAGGGACTCCATGTTAAGTCATTCCAAACAAACCCAGTGATCCTGCAGCCCCAAAAATGTTGGGATTAAAGGGGTAGATGAAATGATCTGGAAGTTGAGCCAGGGCAGAGGCACTCATGAAATATCCAGCCAATACTTGAAAATAAATTGCATGTTAATGGATCCTGCTGTCAAATGACCGAGTGCCCGAAAACTCCCTTTGACAACTCCGAGGTATCCTCAGAGATGGCTGTAATGGGTGACTTTCAGAGCTAATAGCCAATTTTTTTAAGGCTTTTTTTGGGGGTAAAAACATGTGTTCTCTTTTCAGAAGCAATTACTGAGTATTTCACATCTTTGTAAGTGCAGCATTTCATTTCTGCTGCAATTTTTTGGTAGTGCAGGACCTCCCATTAGCAGATTCGAACACTAATGGCTTTTATGTTCCTGTATTTAGTTTTTGGTAAACTCATTAATTTACCAGACCATTTTGGAACATTTGCTTCCAGTAGTCCTACGTGACTGGAAATGCAGAGTTTGGGGGCTTGACAGTAGTTTTTACAATATATTCTAGTGCCTAAAGCTGATGTGTGTCCAAATGCAAGCTGATGGATCAGGTTTGTATCTTACACAGCACTTTCTTCACTAAAACATTCCAAAATTCCACTCTGGATGGATGGATGGATGGATGGATGGATGGATGGATGGATGGATGGATGGATGAGTTTCCTACCATCCCCATCTTTGGAAGGTGTGACCCTGTAGGGCTCTGTTTGCAGAATTTCTCTCAGATAAAGCCACAACTTCACTCACAAATGAGATTATAATTAAAACACAGCCTAACACAGCCAGTACAGGACCCTAACAAAGGTCCTTATTTAGGGTTTCAACAGGAACAGAAAATTCCTGACGTTCATATATAGTTGATTTATTCCCTTTGAAATCTGTCTGTCTTTGTACATCATGTGTTAAAGGCAGAGGGATCACTGATCTTTCCCCCAAGTCCAGCACAAAAGGATCACTCTACTCCAATTTAATGTTCAGGCTTCCTGCTAGAATTCCCATTTTTCACTCTTTTCTCCCAAAACAGGGGCTTGGTCACTTTGGTATCAGCTGCTAGGCCTGAATATTTAACATGTCTAGTGGAAAACTAGCCTGGCAACCTCAAAATCCATTATTTGAATGTTTTTGTCCTGAATTTTCCCTCCCTTTGCTTTCTTCTACAGACTCTCCACTATATCACACAGAGCCAGCCAGAAACTTCCCCTCCTCAAACAACTGCAGCTCACTCAACTCTACCTGAGCCTCACAAGTCAGATAGAAAAGGCAAACCAGGTGGATTCTGGAATATTTCAGTTACTTGTTCACAAATTACTGGGACCAGGGAATTAAAACCCGAAGAAAAAATTAAGTAATGACACATCTGCATGAGATCTTTTGACCCAGACATCCAACCATGCACACCTTGTGTCTTAATATCTTTAGGGAAGTGTCATTATTGCTTTTTAAACTCATAAACATTCAAATTTTTCTGCTGAAAATGATTTCCCCATTATGCTTTCTTAAATTAAAACTAAATATAGACCAGTCATAAGGATTCACTCTCCTGTGCTTTATAAAACATATGCTATGTGGCACTTAACTCTTCAAGAGTTCCACATATTTTATTTAATAGACAAAGGAATTTTAATTAAAAACTTATTTTAAATACACCTGAAAGTCCCTTTACTCGTTTTACATCGTGCTCCGAGTCCCTCTGAGGGTCCATCTGTGGTTAAATAGGAAATGCATGCAGAATATTTGGATTAAGTGGGAATTTGGTAATTCAGCAAGTCTCAGGGAGAAATTTGTGCAATAGGAGAGTAAAAATGACAACTTCAAATGAGGTGTAAAAATGAGATCTTAACTATCCTGCTACTACAGATTCCCTTGTGATCTGAACAACCACAGAGCTGTTGGGTTTTGGGGGGGTTTTGGCATCTTCTCGTCCTTGAGGAGGTGTTTATATTTCAGTGGCAGATTAAGTAATTTCTGTGAATCATCACAGGTTTGGAGGGGTTTTTTTTAGTGCTTTAGGATCCTTTGGGATAAGCAGCTGTATCATAAAGGCATTTACTGCCTCAAGGAAAGGATGAGTTGGTTTGCATTTGAAGCAAACCCTTAATTGATGCAGTGCTGACTTCTTCCACAAACTTCACTAGTTCATAAACTCTACGCACCCAGCAGCACCAACCAGTTGCTAATAATAATTAATCTGTATTTAGGTTATATTTAGATTATATTTAAGTTTGGCTATGAGGTAAAGTTTTATAAAAATCCAAATCATGACACCCTTTAACAACCAATTAAATTCTTGCAAAGACACCGAATCCATCAGACAGGAGAATGTGTTTGGTAAGCAGGCCCAGAGTAAAAAATAACACCAGCGTGACACTTCTTGCTACTAAACATTTGCACTAAAGGAGAATTAAGGCTGGTCAGAGCTCTAGAGTTTTCTTTACTTGCACAAAGACACTCATTTTTCATTTTCTCCAGAGTTTTGATTAACTACCAGGTGACTTCAGGGATCGGGAGCACATACTAATTTGCAGGGAATCACGAGTGCCGAGTGAGCAGCCATGATCCCTGTCCTCTTGAAAGGGGTCTGGAAAAACTCCTGCTGCCAGGAATCCTCCTCTTTGAGGAGCAGGTGTTCACAAACCAAGATAAAAAGCACAGTTCTCTAGAAAAACCAAACTCTAACACGAAGGACTCCGACTTTAGAGAGCCAAGCACATGGGTTGCGAGCGGCGGCCATTTTAGGCGTATCAGAGGAAAGCAGCCCAAAAACCGCAAACCTGAGGGGAAAAAGTAAGAAAGTCGCCCAAATATTGCAAACCTGAGGGGGAAAAGTATCATTTGTGTTGTAATATGAGGGTTTTTGCACTGTTTTTGGCCGCAGGCATCATGGTGAGTAAGGAGCCCAGCAAATGCTTACTCACCGCCTCGGACAGCGACGTCGAGCCAGCGGCTTCCCTGGCCTTGGAGATGAAATACGCACTGGATCCCAACCGGCAGATCAAGAAACGGAACAAAGCCCTGCAGGTGAGGTTTAAGGATATCTGCGAGGCCCAGAACGAGCAGCGGGACAAGCAGCTGTCCACCTCCACCTCCAGCACGCAGGACCCTGACAAGAGGGACGCCAAGGCCATCGCCTACAAGACGGCGTATCGCAAGTACATGACGGTGCCCGCCCGCAGGTCCATCCCCAACGTCACCAAGAGCACAGGAGTCCAGACTTCCCCCGATCTCAAGAAGTGTTACCAGACCTTCCCTCTGGACCGGAAAAAAGGGAATATTCTTAAAAGCGCCTCAACCGTGGACACCCTGCAGGGCGAGAACAACGGGTTCCTGATCGACGTGAAGGACAGGGAGGGCCGGGGCTCGGCGGAGGCCGTTCCGTGGGGCAGGAAGGCGGGCAGCCTGCAGACGGCCGAGTTCATCTCCCACGTCTCGGAGCGCGCCAACGCGGGCGCGCACGACGACGGCGCCGAGGCCTGGAAAAGCAGCGATTTGCACAGTTCTCCCAAAGAGCCGCCTCCTCCTCCCCTCCCAAACTTGGCCGACCCCGCCGAGGACGAGCCCGCGCGGCCGCCCAGCCGGGGGAGAGCGGCGGCGACGCGGCTGAGCAGCGAGGAGGCCGCCCAGCCCCTCCACCACGGGAGGGTCTTCAAGACCGAGGTGGCCACCGTTTACCTGCCGGCCTCGCAGCCCGACCTGCCCAACCTCGGCGACTGGTCGCCGTGCGCCGAGGAGGAGGACAGGAGGAGGACGGTGCACCTGAACGGCGTGCAGCCCGTGGCGGGCGACGCCGGGGCGTGCGCGGCGCAGGCGCGGTGCCCGGCCAGCGAATGTAACGACCGGCCCCTGCAGGTCAACGTCTCGCCCCTGCAGGAGGGCCGGCCCTGCCAGGCGGCCGTGGCCCTGAGCGAGGAATGCCAACAAATCGTGCCTCACACCGAAGTTGTGGACTTGAAAGCGCAGCTTCAGATGATGGAAAGCTTGATCAGCTCCAGTCAGGAAACCATAAAGGTGTTGTTGGGTGTTATACAGGAGCTCGAGAAAGGAGAAGCTCACAGGGAAGGGTGAGTAGAAGCTTTTTTTGCGTGAGTTTAAGCTGATTTAAAATGTCTTTTCCAAGCGTCCTGCCCTTGAACTCGCTGATGTCAACACGTGGCGCTTCCCACGCAAAGTTTCGCTGCTTTTTAGAGGCCTGTCCTAGGGAAACCTGCCAGCACTATTCACAGATTGCTATCTGCTTGTCCTGGGATCTAATTAAGTAATTATTTAATGAAGGGCCTATAATACATCTTGTGCCTTTTCCTCAGAGTGCAGAACGAGCCGCTCTCCAAACAGGATTAGCAAAGATGCTTTCACATCAGCAACTTGCATTAACCATAATTCCTCACACGGCATGAAAAGCAGCAGAAAAACCTTAATTCTGTAAGAGACTTCCCTTTTTAAGATTAAGGGATATTATTACAACTCTTAATATAATTCCATTAATGGCATATGAATCTTGTCTGGTTTACTCTCACCTTCTGAATTTTTCATGGTATTTCTTTCAGAAGGAAATGAAATGAAAACTTTGAATATCAAAGCATTTCTTACAGCATTCACACAGCTCAACACAATAAACTCAAGTAGAAAGAAAGAAAATTGTGTTTATCCCTATCTTTCATAATTTAAAGCAACCTATAAGGCATTAAATAAATACTGTAACTCAGTACAACCTTTAGTCTTTACCTGGACAGTTCAATCCCTCTATTACATAACCTTAACAAGCATTTTGCAGACTGACTCACCTTAGTTCCCTCATCTTTATTCAATGAACACACCTCAAAATGTATGTGCACTGTTTGGGTGTTTTTAAATACTTCTGCAATTAAATCACAATTTGTCAGAAGAAATCAGGATTTTAAAATTAGGAACCCGGCAGCTTGTGCTACTTAAAGCAGCCCATGTTTTCATTCGAGCCAGAAAGGTACATCTTTAATTTAACTCTTTCTTTAGGAATGTACAAATCATGTTAATCCTAAAAACTAAAAATGTTTGTCATTGAAGAGTCCTCTCGGCTGCTGGACACTGCTGTCAACACAGCCTTAGTGCTTTCAGTTAATTTTACAGCTGTCTGTAGTATTACCTATATCAATATTAATTATCTATATCAGGACCTTATCAAGTCCTGGATCTTCAGACTAGGGAGTCTCTTGATGAAGCTGAAAACCACACAGGATCAATGATCTTAAAGGTCTTTTCCAACCTAAACGATTTCAGGATTCAATTTTTTAAAATTATTATTCAGAATAATTCCCCTGCCTTTCTTAACATACAGAAACTGCAGGAGATTTGGACAGAAGTGTCAAGCAGCTCGTCAAATCACAAAATCCAGAAAGACTCTTCCTTCATCACAACTCATCACCTGATGCCCCAGAACCCCGTGTGCAGGAACACCCACAGCCACCCACGAAGCCACCTGCTATAAATACCTCTGCTTCCTCCAGACAATTGTACAGCCATTTTTTAACTTCTTCCCAAAGATAGCACAGCAACAGGTGCAGCAAATACCTATTTTTTTATTGCCCTGACAGAAGCAGAGCCATTTAACGTGGCCAACATTAGGGGTAAGTGCCCTTGGCACAAAACTATCGACGACTGTCTTCAAATAATTTCAACCTGGCAAAGCTACATTAGCCCTAAAATAGTGAAACTATCCATAAACCCCAGTTCAGAACATCTCTACAGCCTCTCAGACACACAGATTTCTGTATTAGAGTCTACAAGACTAGATTTGACTAAAAAGAGACTCTCTATTAACACTCCTGTGTACTTGGAACCACTTCCAGCTACTCCTGCACATGCTCTAGACACGAACCAAACATGCCCCTCCCTGGGGTCGAGATGGGGAAGGAGGGAAAAGGAAGCAGATGCAAACTTGCCTATTTTCTCCTGTTTTAGGAATCCTTGCATCCCAGATCCCTCATTTCCTGGCTGCTGGGTGATTTTAAAGGAGGCTGCCCAGAGGAGATTATGCTCGGGCCATTGCTGTTCTCCCCTGATCACAGAGCTGGGAGAACACTCTGTTCTCCTGCAAAGCACCAACACATCATTAACATGAAGCTTGTCTTTATCCCCATTCCCCTCCAATTAGACAAGTCTTTCAGTAATAGCCTGCCCCATCCTTTTGTTAGAATAATTCTTTCCAACTGCTGCATTCATTGGACATTTTTGCCACAGACACCCGGCACTGTGTAAATTATTACGTGTCTTCTCCATTTCAGCATGTTGGTCTCTTTTCCTGTTATAACCAAGTGTTAGGTCAGCTAATATGAAGAAATTAAAGCAGTGCTACTGCTCCATCTCTGTTTATTATAAAATACAAGAGTCTTCCACCTGCTAAACCAGGAAGAAACGTTCTGTGTTTATGGAACTCTCCTGGTTTTCTTATACATATGAAATTAGGATATTAGGATAACACACTACAAGAAGCAAATACAAGTAACACACTGCTGGTTAAAAAAAAAAATAAAAATAATTTCCAAACCCAGAAAACAAAAGCACAGCTAAATTTCTTAATCAGATTTTTCTCCCTTTAAGGAAATCAGTGCTCTTTAAGTGCTGTTGTAGTGCCCTGGGACTGGTGCTCAGTGGATTCATTTTCACTAATATGCTGTAGGTCCTGAACTGCTATTACTGCAATTCATCACTAAATGAGTCAATGCCAGCAGAAGTGCAGCAGCATCTCTGAAGACAGCAGGATCATCTCTGTATACTTCCCAAAATGTCAGTGCTACATCATCTGCAATTAGCAACAACATCCAGCTCCCAACTCTGCTGAAGGAGGAGGAGGAGAAGCCCAGCCAGCCTGTGACCCCCCCAACATCAGAGGAAATTAGTAAAATTGTGTGTTATTTCCATCATTATTTACTAAACCTCTGGCAAAGAGGCAATTCCACCTTCTATGTGGAAGCTTCTACAAAAAAATAAATTATATCCCAGCAAAACACAGATATTGCTGGATGCCTTAAGTCAGGCATGAAGAAAGTGCAGAGCTGCAGCTTCAATTAAGCCCAGAGTTAAAAAAAAAATGTTGAATATTACATGATGCAGGGTTCAGCTGCACAACACAAACCCAGTTTTATGCTCCAGTTTTATATGAGAAACTATTAGCAATCTCCATCACTTATAGACAAATTTGTCTGTATTCAGATACAGAATTTAACAAGTCAAGTTCTGCTCTGTGTGAGGCACAAATGCAAGCTAATAATTCTAAAACCTGGCTAATAATATCTAGGAAATGTATAACACAAGATGAACACATAATCAAAAATATTTTGCTGCTGGAGAACAACAATGACCTGCCCTTTAAACGCTCACTGTGGAAAGCAACAGAAATCTGGGCCCTCCTCATTATGCAACAAATCAGCAATTTTAATAAACAAAGTGCTCAATTTGCCACACAAAACCAAGTCACAGTATTTTGACTCTGACAGGGCAAATGCTACACATTAGACAAGAGTTAAATGAACCTGCTTCCGAGATAATTTATATTCATTTATTAGTCAGCAGCGGTTCAGGAATTTAAAGAGCTCTCAACAAACTCCTTCGAAGAGGCTCTGAAAGAACACGTTGTTATGGAGGGAATTTAAATGTCAGCTCGTGCTTTTCAGTGACTAAGGGATATCTGTGGCTCTCACTCTCATTTCTAAGCAGAAAATAAACCACTGTTACGTGTTTGGGGGGATGTTTCACCAAAGGGGAGAGCGAATCCTCTTTGGGTTTGTTTCTTCAGCTACAGATGAGGCAAAGGAGAGGTTTGACAGGACCATTTCTAGGAGAAAACCTGGACATGGAGGGAAGCACTAGATCAGCTTAACAGCAGAAGGCACTGCAAATAAAGACGTGAAAAGCAGAGAGAAGGTGGCAAATTCCATCTGTGAGGCACAAATTGTGTTGTACTCTGAGGGACAGCAGGTTTTTGGAGCCCGTAACAGCAGCCCTTGGGGAGAGGACTACGACGAGTGCCTTTATTTCCAGTCTTGGGATCTTTATATTCATCCATCCTGCCTGTCCTTTGGAGCAGTGCCATTCCTTTCACTAATCCTCCCGACACCACCTCCTAAATCCTTCCCCTTTGCCCTCACTGGAGTTGCTGTATTTCAGGTTATGCATCATTTATGGATCATTCCCAAACACAGGCACACCGAAACACCTTGGAGGTTGTCACAATTCACCTTCCCAAGGCAGAGCCAGGAAATCTCTTTGGATGCATCTTCCTCAGTCAAGGAAAAGGAGTAATTTTTGCCCTCTGTGCATCTTGTGATCCTTGGGCCACTGATGGTTGAGTGTTTGTTGGGTTTTTTTTAAATTCTAATCCACATCCACCATTTTCTCAGCTGTTTCCACGAAGATCAGTGTTAAAGTGAAGCATTTGACTACCACAGAAGCAGTTTTTATTTTCTAGTTCCAACAGCAGCAGAACACCCTTCTGTGCCTTTTATTAAAGTCATTTGTATAACTATTCCCTCTTGGAAGTGTACAGGTAATTCTAATTATTATTATTATTATTATTAATAGCTGCTCTGTCAGGCTTCATCACTGCCCAAAAGGTGTGTGTGTCACACTGAACTCTGAGCATAACCAGGCAAAATGCATTCAAAGATCATTTATTTATGTTTTCTTTTAGGTCCCTAAAGCTGTTTTTAAGCCATAAATTTTGCCTGTGAGGATCCCATCCCCTTGTCCTGTGCTCATTCCCCAAGTACAGCTCATCCCTCAGATGCTCATCCCCCATTCTTCCAAAGCAGGATCGGTGCTAAGACGCCACCAAAATCCATTTACCAGCCCTCACCGTGAGAAATTTGGGTTTCCAAGTTATAAACCAGCCCTTCCACATTTCCCCCCAACACACTGACACCTCCTCCTCACTGGAACTATTCCATCATATCCCAAAACTCCCCATTTCCTCACGGGATTATTCCAACACCTGCTCTCTGTCCGCATGACCCCCCCTCGAGCCCTTCGAATTCTCTTTTTCAAAGAAAAAAAACAAATTAAAGCTGATTAATTAAGACTGATCGCTGAG